CTCAGTAAATAGACTTCTCACATAACAGTGAACATCCTCACTGACACGTCTGCTTTTACTGTGCAGCAAATGTCAGTTTTATAGAGTAATGGAAATGTGATGTCATTGTGGGAGCTCTCAGTCAAAAAAAAAGGAGGTCATCTTTAGCAGGGCTGGCATCAGTATGGCACTCAAGCTGACTGACAGAACAGTTTTCTAGTGACTGACGCCATATGCCAAGTGTGTGTGTGCCAAGGCTGTATCTAAGGTAACCATGTGTGCCTCTGGAGCCTTGTGGCAGTTTAGGGATGATAAATTATGCACTGCAGACCAGACTGACTTGAACCCACTCAGCTGTACAGTATGCAAATAAACAAACTTATAACTAATAATGAGGCAGAATATGTGGATATTTGTAACAGAACTGATTATCTGAGTGTAAGACGAGTTTTTATCAAATGTAACAAAATATAGTGACTAGGGCATGATGTTATGCAAATTCTTTATGCCAATGTCCATTCCCCATTTTTGTACACATTTCATTCATTCATTTTCCTTAGGCTTAGTCTCTTTATTCATCAGAAGTTGCCACAGTGGAATTTCACACAGCGGAAACATCCAGCTTCCAGCTGCAACCCAGTACTGGGAAACATCCATACACACTCATTCACACACATACACTAAGATCAATTTAGCTTATTCAATTACCTACTGTATACCACATGTCTTTAGACCGTGGGGGAAACTGGAGCACCCAGAGAAACCCATGCGCACACGGCGAGAACATGCAAACTCCACACAGAAATGCCAACTAATTCAGCCAGGACTTGAATCATAGCAACTGTGTCACCCTTTTGTAAACATTGACAGAAATAATAAAAGTACAAGACGTATTAATTTTTTAAAATTAAAATATCTTCTGACTTTTGTACTTACATTATCCCAAATCCAAAGAAATAAGCTATTTTAAAAAGTGACACGGATTGTGTCCTGTGCCGACATGCTAATGACATCAAACCCCCGATTTTTGGTTTGGTTTTACTGACTTTGCTCTTCAATGCGGAAGTGCGCTCGAAGAATAAGGTCAATAGAGTACAGTAAAACACCCTAGACACTTTATTGCATTGTGTTTTATTTATTTAGAGCAGCAATATAACAGAACCTTAAAATGTATTTGTTATTACAACTGCACTGTGAACTGTGGTATAATAAAAGCTCTCATGCCGCATCATGCTTGTCTCTTATAAGCAAATGTTGAAGCACTATCATTTTGGCCTGGTTTATACTTGCGCGTTGTTGTGCATTTATACTTCTGTATGCGGTTTGTGTTGCTCTGCAGTAACACTTCCGAAACGCTAGCTGGCAGTAGATTTAAATGTTGCTCTTTGTAGTGTTTCTTCATGAGTGTTTATTTTTTCTGAATGCTAAAAGTAGCTAAAACTCACTTCTTGAGAGGCATGAACCAGTGGACGTGCAACAACTTTAATTATAAGGTAAACACAAAACAAAAGTTTCCATCTGGAGCACCTTTACAGGACTTGACACTTGTAAACACTCACTCCCTCGGGCTCACAGTTCTCAACACTGCCCACACTTGCCACAGCTATCCAAGCCGACCAATCACAGAGCTTGTGTTACACGTTGTTGCAACGTGTAGTTAAATTTTTTGAGAGGTGCACGTCAGCTACGGCAAGGGCTATGCGACAGCGTGCATACTGTGCAGAAGTATTAATCAGCCTTTACTCTGCTTCATACAACCATAATATGAATATAATTAGGATTCTGAATATGTTAGGTTAACAATTCCCATGATTCCACATTCATCACAATACACCTTTGGCTGTTGTGAATATGTACCCCCTAGTTGTAAAAAATACACACTGTGACTTTAGGAGGTGGCTTGTTAACCCTAAATAACTTTATGGAAACTGAGAACATAACACCCTGAACAATCCAAGCACTAAGTACTAATTATCTTAACACCCAAAATAAACTTCTTGTCGGGTCATGGATTTTGGCTAAACATCACTAAACTGAAATTGTGGTTCTTTCATTTTGATGCATTACTCACATTTTGAAATATTTGCTAATCAAAAGCCTTTAGGCTAATTCACATCACACCAACAGACAGCAACACACACTTTCACCCCGTTTACACTAATGCGTTTTAGTTTGAAAACGCATAAGTTTTGCTACGGTTACGCCATCCGTCCACACTACACCGGAGTTCTCGAGCGCCGAAAACGGAGCGTTTCGAAAACGCTGGAGAGGCCGTTTTCATTCTGAAACGCTGCTGCTCCGTCTCAGTGTGGATGGGAAAAGACGGAGACATCTGAAAACGGAGGCGGGGCTGCAAACATTCGCCTCTCTGATTGGGGCTTTTCCTCAATATTAAGTAGCCTACACACACAGTTCAGTCCTGCATTCTCTCCGTGTAAGTTCAGACTTCACAAGTTTGATCAAGGCTGCATCTCTTCTTCTCAGTTTGATATGGAAAACATACAGAGGACACGCATCAATCTTCAAAGGGAACAGTGTACTTTATAACTTCATTCACATCACCCTGGCTACGTTGTTTCACTTTCTCAACAATAAAATGTAAACTTGATATAAGGAACTGCCTATTTTTATTTTAATATTAACAACTAAACAGACAGCAGAAATGTTGAGGCGTCGTGCTGCCTGAGCGTCATCTTCACTGTGTGGATATTTATAACAAAACGGAGCCGATAACAACACTGCCTCCTTTCAATTTCAGTGAAAATACGAAACATACCCTCTCTTTTGCTGAATATCAGTTTTAATAATCGATAATGGCCATTATAAAAGTATAACATACAATAAGTTTATACATTAGAGGAAATAAAGGCAAGCGATCAGTCAATATACAGAATAGGCTACGTGCTTACATTAATCATTAACTTATCTTTGCGCTCAGCCAAAACACGTTACCTGAGAACAAGTAATAGATTCCAATGACCAAAGTCAGGGAATATGTCGTTAGATAAAGACAACAAGATGAATGAAATATCCCGTTTAATAAATATAGTGAGATTAGATCCAGCGGGAGATGCTTGATGAGGAGTCCGAGTAGCATAGCTCTCATCTGGGTAGATGGGCTCCAGCGATTGCCAAAGTGTGTGTGTGTGTGGTCACGTGATGTGCGTTTTCAGCGTTTTGGTGTGGACGGAGAGCTGTTCAGAAACGCTGGGTAAAACGCGAGTGTGGACGCGGATCGTTTTCATTCTAAAACGCCGTTTTAAAACTAAAACGCACTAGTGTAAACGGGGCCTTTGTTGAGTTTTGTGGGATCAATGTGTTAGCCCTATCAGTGGCTGTTGTTGAAATGTCACTCGTCAGTCATGGAATGTCTGGTAAAGTGCTGTAATCAGGTGATTGTCTGCATCTGTCAGTGCTGTGTGAATTGGCCTTTAAGTACTAATAAACTCCTGTACACCCCCACTTCAGAAAAACAATCCATTTGAATTCAAATACATTGCTTGGCTAGTGAATACCCCAGGAAGCATTCTATTTTTGTCACCTTTGTCACCAGACTGTCAATACCTTCTATCTTAATGCTTCAACGAACATGCGTTCTGTGCCATGGCATGTTACATGATGTTTTGACCTCTCCTTTGTATGATAGTCAGCTGCCAAATAAAACCCTGCTGTAACACTCCCTGGAGCTCATTTTTGCTTGTCATGCAAGACAGTCTCCTGCTCCTTCTCAAAAGGAGCCAAGAGGCAGTCAAATGAGCTCAGTGTTGCTGATCTGCATGTCAGATGCATCAGGGTCTGAAGTTTATATTGAAATGCAGACTTGCTTGACGGATGATGTATAGATATATAGATAGTGCGAATATGCCTGAACAGATGAGGGCTGTTTGTTAATGAACCACAGAAGCCAGCAGACCATGAAAAAATACCTTCATGAGCCAATTCACAAGACCGACAGTTTGGATAATGAGTGATGTAATGGCTGACCGTTATACAGTTACTAAACAAAATTCAAGAGAAGATCTGATCGTTCTCCACCATGCAAACATTCTGTACTATTTGCACTCCACATTTTGCAAATATTTCAGAACAAAGTCTAAATCAAAGGTCATTTCTTGTTTGCTTTATTTCGTACTAAACCTTTCTGCAGAAAGCACATTTGCAGTTATGAGGTCATTGGCATGTTGAGCTCATTCACTGAAGCTCATTCTTTGGGCATTTATTCCAGCACATTTCATAAGAACAAAGACAAAAAGGTGCACACTAGAACTGCACAAGCTTAGCAATTACCACAATGAAGATCGCTTCTGTTGGAAGTATTGATGCATGATTCTTTACGCAGGTAGATCACCTCTTTTTCTAAAAGCAATAAACAGCCGCAATTGGTAATTACAAGGGAAGCAGACAAGAGCTGTTTCAGACACAAACACATATAAAACTTCACAAGGGCCTTTGTCTCAGTGGCTTCATTCTGGGCTGCAACCGGACCAAGATGTCTACTGTTCCCTCCCAGCCCTCAGTAAAAGAGACAACAAACAATGGGGTTGCCATGGTAAAATCAGAGCCCTCTGCCTCAGCACGACAGCGGATTATTCAGTGTGTCAGTTTTGCCTAAGATGTGTAGTAGCATTTGCTCACAATGTCCAGTATTCTCACCAAAAACACAATCGCTAATGTTTGCTAAGTGTGTTAAGATTACAGTACATTCAGAGATCAGAGTGCACAGAGGATCCCACCTGGAAAATACGCAGAAACTTGCTATTTACATATAGAAAGGCATGTAGAGGCAGCAACCTACATGACATGTACTAACAGATATGGGTATTCTGTTCCTAGAGTGGTTCTTTATTCAATTTCAAGTAGGCATCTGCTAACAAATCATTTGTCCATTAACAATATTAATTAGAACTCAAGCTACTTCTTAGTTGATATATGAAGTATTTTTCCTCTCATAAACCAACTTATTTAAAAACTGTGTAATATAAATGCGTGCATTTGTAAGTGTGTCACTGCATCTCACTTACCAGTCTCTCCATTTCCTGCTCTCTGAGTCGCTCTTCTCTTTGGCGTCGATGGTACTCCAGAAGGTCATCCTCGTTGTCGCTGATCTCTGTGATGCTGTTTTTGCGCTCCCTCATGCCTGGGTGAGGCATCCGGAGGTCTCTGTGGCCTGCTGACATCTTTCGGTGGCTCCTGGGACTAGATCGTGGGGAAGACCCAGGCAGAGAACTTAGGCTGAAGGCAGAAGAGAGTGAGTTCCCAAAACTTCCCTTCCGTCCACTGCTTTCGCCAGTCAGTCCAGAGGTGGGCGAAGGACTACGAGTGCGCATCGCACGAGGACTGAATGGCTCCTCTGTAGGTGACCCTGTTTTCCTCCTGAGTCTGGGACTCTCTGGCACCATTCTTGGGGATGGGCTCTCTGGAGTTCGCAGGGTTCCTGGTAGAGCACCTGGGAGCACAGGAACCCCCCTGCGAGCTATGGAGGGACTGAGAGGGGGGAGTTCCCTCATGCTGCTCCCTTCAAGATTTCTGCGGGCCAGCCGCGGACTTTCTGGAGGCTGCAGTGTTCGAGGATGTGGGTGTGAAGGTCCACCTTGAATGATGTGAACAATGGGGTCCAATGGGGGCTGGAAAGATCTTGATGGTGGGGAGAGTTGGTGAGAGGGGCTGGACGTCAAAGAACGATCTGGCTGAGGTTGCTCCCGGAAAGGACTTGAGGGTCGATCTTGGAGGACAATGGTAGTTTTGGTTCTGGGACTAGAGGGTGAGGCAGGTGAGGACGCAGTGGAGAATTTGGTGGCTAATCTAGGACTACCTGGAACTGGTACCCGACTAACAGATGGGACATCAGTCGGAGCTGTAGAGATGGAGACTGAGGGCAGAATGTGAGTCTGTATGGGGCTGTCTGGGGTTTTAGCCACCGAGCTGTCTTGGTTCAACCCCCTACGGCTTGGCTTTGGGCTTGGCGGTGCTTCTAAAAGCGCCTTTCGCTGGAGTCTGGGACTCTCAGGCACCTTTGGCCCACTGCTGCCACTGGAATAGCTGGGCAGTATGGTCCGTGGCTGAGGTATGGGTGGCTGGCTGGTATAATTGTAACTAGAAGACCTCACTGGCACAGGAGGAAGCATGTGAGGCTGGTCCTGACAACCAATTGGTGAGAGAGTGGTGTAGCTGCCACTGCTGGCAGCCGAGGGAGATGACAGAGGAGAGAAAGGAGGGGAGTTATTCTCATAACTGGAGCCCACAGACATAGCACCAGGGCTCGTTGGGGGAGAGAGAAGGAAGCGCCCCCCTCCATTTAACATCGGAGAAAGGGGAGACTGTGAGATGGACTGACTAGAGGGCTTCTTTGACTCGGAGGATGAGGGCTGAGGGTCATCCATGACTAATGAGTCCATAATGTCCTGAAGGTCCTTCTCAATGGAACTGACGATGGCACTGTGCTCAGGGCGCACTCTCTCGTTGGAAACCAAGTGGGATTTTGCCTCTCCTGAAGAGTGGTTCCCATTGACCAGGTTCTCTGAATCTGAGAGAAAAGAAAATAATTATAACACTCAGCCATAAACAAACATAAAAATACACACATTTCAGAATGCCTCAGGTATGACAAAAATTTACTCATTATTGAATCCCTTTTGAATTTGAGATGATTTGAACTGTCTATGCAAATGGTTCAGTTATCAAGTCTGAATGATGCGATCACTCATTAAAACAAATGTTTTTGGAATTGCTAATTAATAAACAAAAATTTACAGAAGAACTGTCTGATCAATGTAATTGAGTTTTAGTACAGCATTCTTTAATTTCACACAGAGTAACATTATGGTTTAAAATTCCTGAAAGACTGATTTAAAAAATACAAACAGTTCAAATGAATAAATTCACAATAATAATTTCCATCACTAGATGAACCATCAGAGTACAGAAAACAAGAAGAGCACTTATGAGTAAGTGGATGCATTTGGCTTTGTCACCCCACCTAACCCCCATTATTATTCTCAGTACTACACCTGAGCTTTTAATGCAAGTACCTGCAGCTCTTTTGGCACTGCAAAGATGCATTTAATCCATTAGCCCCATTCAACAGCCTCCAAGTTTAACACTGCTGCCAAACCCACGGAAGACGAATGCCCAAGTAGAAATAGTGGTTACCAAATGGAAACTCAGAGACAAAGTCTGCCAGGCTCCAGGCTGAGAGGATAGACGTCAAATGAATATGTGCTCATATGGCCAAATCACTGAGAACCCTGCTGGTAATTCAATCTATCTCTCAGGCAACTGACTATCTCCAATGCAAATGGTTCTTCTGCTCAAAGTTACACAGGCCTATAAAGTAAAAATGGTCATTATCTAAACCAGGTTTTCAAACTGGGGTTCAGGAAACCCCACGATGGCTTCAAGTGGAGTTAGAGGTATGTGAGGTAACATTATAACAGCATTTTATCAGTATATCTGCTTTGAAACAATCTTTACAGTAAAATTCAATTCAAATAAACCTGACTTCTGAAAGTACTAAAGTTATATTTTAACAATTAATATAAATCACAATACAAAAGTGAGTTACTTAATTTTTGACAATATGTTTTGTAATTTCATGATAATGCTGTTTCTTATGAGCCTGTATGTGAAATGCATGTGTTTACATTTTAGAAATGGGCCTCTAGCAAAGCATTTATCATACTTTGGTATCATTAAAGGTCCTTGGCAACACAAAAATGTACAAAAATAAATAAATAAAAAGAAATAGTCGAATGCACAATATTTTAAATAAAGCCAAATATTTGGAAGATATTTCATTTAACATTTTAACAGCTGTAGACTTGGATAGGACAGCTTAGCATATTAATACTGTACAAAACCTATTGGATAGAAACTTTACATATTGTATATGAGACTGATCTTGAGTCAGTGACAGAACTGATTTCACAACATCCAAAACTTGATCAATCTTGCACTTGCAAGTGTTTGCATTTCTATCCCACAAATATTTCTGTCCTGATTGCAAAACTCTCCCTGTTCAAAACTCCTCACAAATAATACATAAAGCACATTCTTATTCCAAGTGTTGTTATTAATTATTTTTATAGTCATCGAGGTTTAGAAATAAGTCAAAGCAGCTGACGATGCCTCTGGCTCAATTTTCCATTTAAATCCCATTGAACGAGAATCGGCTTCAAGCGAGCACAGATACACAGAGATACACTTAAGACAAACACACTTAAATATTCCAAATGACAACATAATACATGTCAATCTGACAACTCGCGACTGTAAAAGGACACATATGCTACATACAGTTGATGTGTATGTCGATCTAACACATTAACCGCCTCTGTAATGATCACTACTTACAGATGAGAACACGCCTGAGGGAACGCTAAACCGCTGCGTTTGGTTATTAAGCCATAGCCGAGCTCAAATACAAAAGTACGGCTCCCGCATTCCGGTTCTTCGTCTAGGCCAGCTGTACCGGCCACAGGGGTGCCCAGGCTGTAGTATAAAGCGCCGCAGATGAGATATTCCAGCCGGGCTTTGGAGAGCCTGGCGCCGCTACACCATCGCTGAGCCCCCGCCCTCCCCTGTCCACGGTGCTGATGTGACTGACTGCTGGCTGCGCGAGGCGGGGCTACGCTCTTAAAGAGACAGTGCACTTTTCCATAATGTGTTAAAGTGGAAACTGATCTGTCATTTATTTTCATGCAAAAAAGGTTATATAACAGCCCCCCCCCCCCCCCCCCCCCAATATTTTATTGCATTTTTTCCAGATATTATACAAACTTACAAATGTATATGAAAAATAGAAGTCCTATGAGCAAAGAGATGACATGAAATACATAGCAATAAAAACAAGAAAACTGTAGAACTCTTAAATCAAACTTACACTTTTCTACCCCCTTCTATCCACCATCCCTCCCATCCCCCACCTCTCCCTATTTTCTGAGTCCTTCAATAAGTATGTAACGGTGAATCAAGACACTGATAAATAAATAATAAGCCATTTGAAAAAAATATATAAATAAAATAAATAAAAATAAATAAATAAATGGGTAAATACAGAGGATGAAAATGTAAAATAAAAACTAGAAGTCTCTCTTTCTCCCTTTCGAAATTCTAGTGAGCAGTTCCTGAAATGTTAAGGTTCTCAATGACTGACAGTATGGGACTTCATGTTTTGTTAAAGGAGTTCAGTGATCCTTTAAAACAATGTCTCAGTTTCTCAAGATAGATGCAATTAAGAAGCTCTTTAATCCAGTGTTCTGATGATGGAGGGGACACATGTTTCCATTTGAGGAGAATTGCGCGCCTGGCGAGCAAGTTGGTAAAGGCAATGACGCGGCGTGATGTTTGTATATAACAGGCTTTTAATCAGCAGTATATAATATAATATAATATAATATAATATAATATAATATAATATAATATAATATAATATAATATAATATAATATAAATCGCTATTATTTTGTATCATTACTGTGTTTTACTATTGTTCTTCCACACAAAATAACAACAACATAAACAAAACAAAAGAACGCACCAACAACATAAAATAAATGTTTTATTTTATAAGAGTTAACAAATCAATATTTAGCAGAATAAACCAGATTTTTGGGTCACAACAAATTAAAATGTTTAATATTCTTACCAGCTGTCAGTGTTTGCAATTATGAAGAAATGTCATTCTTTATCAAATAAAAATATTAAATTTTACCATACCTAATAAGTCTAGTAAAACTAGTGAAACTGAGAATGTTTTAGAAAGTCTCTTTTTTGTATATTTATTGATATAAATCCCTAATAAATTAATATAAATACTGACAGTGAAAAATTCTCCCAAACACACTGTTTATCGTCACATAAAACAAATGATGTCATCTAAACTCACAAACGGCATTAAATATAAAAAATCAAAATCAAAAATTTGTTTGTTACATGGGCAAAAAATAAATGGGTTTTAATCTGTTAATACATCACACATTTCTCTGTGCAATGCTGAAATACTATCAAGCACATGCAGTAAATGGGCTGTGTGGGTACGGAGCAGCCGGATATTGGGAGAATATGAAGGGAATAGTGAAGAGGGGACAGCGGTGCTGGGTGGGTGGCGGGATAAATATAGATGTAGTAAAAGATACCCCCCAACTTTAAATAAGCTGAGCATGGCCAACAAAGCTGTCTGGTATGGAAAAGAGACGGATGAGGAAATAGCTCTGGCACAGAGAAAGTGTGAAGGGGTCTTTTTTCCTCTCTATAAATCAGTCCATAAACAAATATCAGATGCCTAAAGCACATGGACAACTTTACATACTGTATATATATTAAAGGGATAGTCCACTGAAAAATTTAAATACATGTTTTTACTCACCCTCTGGCACACAAGCAAAACATTAAAGATTTGTAGTCAATGACTACTTGAGAGTTAAAAAAACATATATAGAAAAAACAAAATTAATACTTGATGATACACTGAGGTTTTATGAAGAGCAACATCTTTCAGATGGGACGGTAAACCGAGGTCCTGACTCTCTGTGGTCATTAAAAATCCCATGGCACTACTTGTAAAAGTAGGAGTGTAACCCCAGTATTCTCGCCAAAGCCTCCCAATCATCCCCATCCACCGAATTGGCTCTATCACTGTTTCTCAATTCCACCTATAGCTGGTTTGTGGTGAGAGCACTGGCGTTGTTGTCCTGTGGCTGCCGTCTCATCATCCAAGTGTATGCTGCACACTGATGGTGGTGTGGAGAGACCCCCTTCATGATTGTAAAGCGCTTTGGGTGTATGGCCATACACAATAAATGCGCTATATAAATACACATTACATTACATTATATTACAACAATCAGGGTATTCACTGAACATTAATTACAACATTATTACCTTTCATTCACAGCCTCAGCAAATGAGCCATAATTACTCATTTATTTTTACCTGTCTATTATATTTTATTTTTATTGTTTTGCATTTAATAAAATGCCAAGCTCCTCAGCTTAAGTTAAAATTCTTTCAAAAATACATATTTACAGGTAGGGTGCGAATGAAAAGGGGGTTTGGGGGGGGGGTTGACCCCCCTAATTAAGGCTTAATCCCCCCTAAAGGACGTCCAAACAAGGTGTATGGGGAGTCCCTTTGAATCTGAGAAATGTTCACTCTGATTTGTATTTTAAACAATAATAATGCTAATAATTAAAATAATAGATAACCATTTGACCACTCATATTACAGTTCAGACCATTGTGAATGCATAATTGAGACAATCAGTCTATTCGAGAAAAAAAGTAATTCAACAACTGCAATGCAACTGGCAGATTCAGACCACCGATAGACATTGTAAGAGTTCACAAGGTAGTTTTCTCATTAAATAGGTGTTTGTTTCTACATATAGCCTATAAGTAAAGTCAAATTAGATGCATAGTTTGCATAGTTTGAACTAAAGTAAGCTGAAACAGCTAATCAGGTCATAGTATACACTAAATAGTCTATCCAACAAAACACTGAAAACCAAAATACATTTATTTATTTATAATCCTTTATAATATATTCATTCATTATTAAATTATATGTAATTTTAAATAAATACATAAATTTGGTTTACTGAAGCATGTTGTTACGCCGAGAAAACCCGAATGCTCCACCATTGGGATACAGTAAATCTAATAATTTACTTCTGTGGAGAACTGAAGAATACTGGTAATCAATTGGCTTCCACTGGCTTCTATATATAGGCAAAAACTATACTAGTCAATGGGGAAAAAACTGTCTGCGTACACTTTTTAAAAGTTTGTATTTTCTGTTCCTCAGAAGAAAGAAAGTCAGGCATATTGTGTGACAGAATTATACAGTGAGTAAATTATGAAAAAAAGATTTTTGTTTAAATGAATCTTTTAAGCCTGAACAATCCTAATTAGTTCAGTTAATTTGAACTGTAATTAAACCCCAGGCAAAACAAGAGAAATAAGTGGTGAAAAGGAATGCAACGGCTACATTGTCTGCAAAAGAATGTCTTTCATGGTGACAAAAATGTATTACCAGCCCAGGAAATGCCCTTCACCAGTTGTGTTTAAATGCTATACTTGTCCTTTTTTCCCGCCACACAACAGGAAAAGTCAAGCAAACAACTTTATACATATTGTAAATGTTGTGTTTAAACATTGGCTGCTGTGTAGCACTGTAAGTGGGAGTGGAAGAGGCAGAGCTCTGTCAGGAGACCCACAGGAATGAGCTCCTCATAAAAGTTGCATGGTGCAACTCAGGATCCAGGCAGGCTTTCAATGCTGACAGAAAAAAACGGAAATGCTGTAAGGCCCGGCTGAAAGACGCTACCTGTGCTACTGGAACAAACCCTGCCATTCAGCCACATTCAAGCAACACCCTATGAGGACAAATTCAGCATAAACGGACCATTTGTAATACACCATCTATTTTGTGTAGTCGCACAAACAATTGCTGGTATTTAAACATCATATGTAAATAAAACACCTTTATGTGCAATATTATTTTTATGGCACTACTATGTTTAAAATATGTTGGGGAAACAAATTCTTTCCATTGAACAGCGCTCATGAAAAATAAAATTTAATTTAATTAAATAAAATTAAATATAAAAAAATAAACAAAAACAATAAATTAAATTAAATTAAAACATAAATAAAATAAAATAAAATAATTTTTTTAATAAAATAAAATAAAATAAAATAAAATAAAATAAAATAAAATAAAATAAAATAAAATAAAATAAAATTATTCATTCATTTTCTTGTCGGCTTAGTCCCTTTATTAATCGGGGTCGCCACAGTGGAATAAACTGCCAACTTATCCAGCAAATTTTTTACGCAGTGGATGCCCTTCCAGCCGCAACCCATCTCTGGGAAACATCCACACACACACATTCACACACATACTCATACACTACGGACAATTTAGCCTACCCAATTCACCTGTACCGCATGTCTTTGGACTGTGGGGGAAACCAGAGCACCCGGAGGAAACCCACGCGAAGGCAGGGAGAACATGCAAACTCAACACAGAAACGCCAACTGAGCCGAGGTACATAAAATAAAATAAAATAAAATAAAATAAAATAAAATAAAATAAAATAAAATTAAATTAAATTAAATTCACAGGAGGGCTAGTAAATTTAGAAGATACTTTTCCCATGATCTCAGACAGCACACAAATGAGGTTCTGTGGCTCTGCAGGAATGTTTTTCCACACAAATGACGTTCTAAACAACACTGCCTAAGAGGTAGGCGTTAGATAATTCATGCCACAGTCGGGGTGTGTTCTCGTGTGGGATATTGCGTTACCTTTGTGGGTCCAGTTTTTCACACTGGCTGTCTGTCCTCCCTCGGGCATCATGCTTTTCATTCGGAAAGCCTCCTCGGGGTGGTTGAAGCGGAAGAAGGCGGATTGGCCGAAACACAGCATGCAGCCTGCACACAAACCAAAACAACTATTAATAAAGCTTAGAGTGAAAATACATGATGTTTTATATCAAACATATGCCTGAAGAGAGCATTTCAAATGATCTTGGCAGTTTTAGAGTGGTTTTGTATACAGTGGCGGGGTACGGAGGGGGAGGAAAGGGATGTTTGCCCCTGTTTTACATGAACAAGCAGGAACATCTCACACTGTGGTGTCGAATCAGACTCTTGGCTTGCTGAGTGAAGGGAAAAAATAGACAAGCCAATGCTGGTAGAGCTGCCAGTTAACGTCAATATGATATCTAAATTAATTCTGTTTATTTATGATGAATGATTTCAGCATGTCACCAAGTGTGCTTATTTTAAAGCCAATTTCTTTGTCAGAAAAGTTCATTTAATAACAAATTCTAATGTAAAACATTTAAAAATAATATATCAGTGACATATTGACAAATATAAGTGATTCAATACCTTAGGATAAAATAAGATAGTGCCTATTTTACATATTTATAGTTTTGACAATACAGCGCATCAGCATCCAACAGTAACAGAGACCACATAATTAGCCCTTAGAGAACAAAACCTCAGCATAATTTCAAACTACAGCTGATCAAATCATTATAAAACAGTTAAGTTAGATTCTAAGTCGATCTCTCTTTTTATATGTTGTAGTGCTGTAGTTATAATGTAGTAATCTGGTAGAGTTTTGTGCTTTGGCTTTTTTGGGGTTAGTTATTATAATATCCCGATTGCACCAAGAAATACTGAGAACTGTCTCCATACTGATGGCATTTCATGCCGTTCAGCCTTGTAATTTTAAAATGTAAGCAAAATCACCTGTTTTGTCATCCCTTTAAACATTACGCTGGAGAATTTTTTAAATACTAGCTCTAAAACGAAGTTTGTGAAGAAGCAACGATTACTGCTATTCTGACATCAGCTGCAGATGTGAATGAATGATGTAAAAAAGTAGTTCCTCGAACAAAAGGGCTTTTAGACTCTCCGTGTCTGATCTTCTTTTTATATAAGTGATTACACTGTCAAACTGTTGTAAAAACGCAATATCACACTCATAGCAGTACAATATGGTTGTATATTGTCACTGGTGGGACACAACACACATCTCCCACCAGTGCTGATATACAGCCATATCGCACTGCTACCCGTGTAGTATTGCTCATATATATGTATTTACACTGTAATGAATCTAGCTTACAAATTGTTAACTCAGTATAAATTGTAAGTTAGGTGGAAACATTTTTGAGCTCAGAGTTGAATTTGCTCATAAAATTGATTTAACTGCATGTTTGGAACTGTTTGTTCATTGAAAGTGGAAAAAAAAAAATCAGTTGAGGAGACTTTGAATTTTGATTTCCTCATTTGATCATGAACCACTATAAAAAAAATAAAATGTTGAGTTAACTTGCAACCGGCAGCAAAGAAATTTGAGTTTATTAAGCTTAAGTGGTTTAAGTTGTGCCAAATTATTCCATAATGCATATTTGATTTAAAACAGCCTTTTCAGTCAACTTAAAAATATTATTTGGCACAACTTCAACCACTGAAGCTTAATAAACTTAAATTTCTTTGCAGCCGGTTATATATATATATTTCCTCATCTGAGCATTTATATGCGATATGGCTGTATATCAGCACTGGTGGGAGGCTTAGTGCCACCACCAGTGCCGATATACAGCCATATCGCACTGCTACGAGTGTGATATTGTGTTTATACAACAGTTTGACGGCATAATTGTGTATATAAAAACAAAATCAAACACGGAGAGTTTCAAAAACCCTTTTGTATGAGGAACTACTTTCTTCCACATTGGATTCAAATCATAAGCTGACAGTTAAACAGTTGAGCAAGCATCTTTTAAACTTTAGATCTGTAGTGTCTGCTTTTTGCTGGCTTTTTGTGGGCGGAGTAATACACAAAGGGTAAAGAGGCTGTAGGAGATCTGATATTGCAGAATATCGCACGGCTATCAGCCAATCAGATTTGAGAACCAGACAGAACTGTTGTATAAATATATATAATTACCTCACTACTAACAGTAAACCAATTTATTGGTTTGTTATTTAGCTGAAATCAAACATATAATTGCATCTTTGCTGCATAAATCTACATTAAAACAAACATGTAAACAAAAAAAGTATTGCAATATGATCCTACTATAAAATAAAATAAACAAATCAATAAACAAAAGAGCAGTCCTGCTATATAAACCTGTCTCAAAACAAACATATAATAGCAGTCATGCTGAATAAAATAAACAAGTAGATGAAACAAAACAGAAAACAACAACTCTTATAAATAGCTATAAAGCTTACAGCTATATAAAGCTTTTATTAAAACATTTAATAAAAGTCTTGATATAAACAGTGCCCTAAAAGCAAAACATGTAAACACCTTCAGCCTAAACAAGATAAAAACAAAAAACAAAACACGAACCTGCTTGAGCCAAACTGTCCAATCACAGTGTTTATACAAAGCAGGTAAAGGTCTCATGGAAACCTTTCCAGCCGGAGCAGATGTGTGATGAATGCGGACTGCCAGATGCCCTTTTGTTCCAGGCAGAACATTTGATTACCCCTCAGGTTCTGACAGGACAAGGTACGATTAAAGCACACAATGAAAACTAAGCGTCGCTGAAGTAAACTAAGTCATATGCTTAAGTGGCATTCTCACATCTACGTGTTTTCTTTCATGTTGTTACTGAATAGAAGAATGAGGTTTGGTAACTGATAGTGCTTGTTGACATAAAAAGAGTGTTGTAGATGAATGATCGAGTCTCGACGTGCTCGACTAGGTGAAAAGAATCAAGAAAATTAAAACAACATGAAGCCTACAGTATGTCGAACAGAAAGTTATAGCTGTTTAAATGAACATACTTGTTTACCAGCTGTTTTTGTTGAACAGTATTGAGGTTTGTGGTGTAAACCACATCAGCAAACTGTTGTTTCCTACATGTCCTATTTTGTGCCTTATTGAAATCATATTTAGGTGTTTTTTACAGACAATAACTGTGGCATCTGCTGCATCAGCACGAACCGCTGACCAGCTCAATCATTACCGACAAGCAGCACCAACAAATAGCAAACCCACATGCGGCAACAGCTCCACTGCTTTCTTATTTTGCACCGCAAGCAATGTGCTCATATTTGTCATCGCACAAATGTGCCATTAAAAATGATGCACAGCATCTAATTCAGTAATGGGACAAATACGTGCTTGTGATGGCAAGCAGGCTTGTGCAATCCATCCACAATTCTGTATGAGAACTGTTTGCTAACGTCTTAAATTACCCATGAGCAAGTTATCCCCAAAACACATCATGTAATCCATTATACCACAACCTCGGTTACATTATTATGTTGGTTTAACAATGGGAAAGAACTGTCATTACACACTCAGTTACAGTTTTCATTTTAAATTAAACTAATTTTAATCCCCAAAACAGCTTTTAAACAACATCCATCCATTTGTGTTTGTCTGTATATCTGACCATCCATCCATCCATCCATCCATCCATCTACCCATGAAAGTCAATGCACTACATTCATCCATTTGTGTTTATCTATCTGACCATCCATCAGTCCAGCAATCGGTCCATCCATCCATCCATCCATCCATCCATCAATCGGTCCATCCATCGGTTCATCCATCGGTCCATCCATTAGTCCATCCATCAGTCCACCCATCCATCCATCCATACATACATACATACATCCACCCATCCATCCATCCATCCATCCATCGGTCCATCCATCCCTACATCCATCCATCCATCCATCCATCCATCCATCCATCCATACATACATACATCCACCCACCCATCCAACCATCCATCCATCCATCCATCCATCCATCCATCCATCTACCCATGAAAGTCAATGCACTACATTCATCCATTTGTGTTTATCTATCTGACCATCCATCAGTGCAGCAATCGGTCCATCCATCCATCCATCCATCCATCCATCCATCCATCCATCCATCTATCCGTCCATCAATCGGTCCATCCATCGGTCCATCCATCGGTTCATCCATCGGTCCATCCATTAGTCCATCCATCAGTCCACCCATCCATCCATCCATAAATACATACATCCACCCATCCATCCATCCATCCATCCATCCATCCATCCATCCATCCATCCATCCATCCATCCATCCATCGGTCCATCCATCCCTACATCCATCCATCCATCCATCCATACATACATACATACATCCACCCATCCATCCATCCATCCATCCATCCATCCATCCATCCATCCATCCATCCATCTATCCATTTATCTATCCATCCATCCATCCATCCATGTATCCATAAAAGTCATTGGACCACATTCATCCATTTGTGTTTATCTATCTGACCATCCATCAGTCCAGCAATCGGTCCATCCATCCATCCATCCATCCATCCATCCATCCATCCATCCATTCATCCATCCATCCATCCATGCATCCGTCCATTAATCGGTCCATCCATCGGTCCATCCATCAGTCCATCCATCCATACATACATACATACATACATCCACCCATCCATCCATCCATCCATCCATCCATCCATCCATCCATCTATCCATTTATCTATCCATCCATCCATCCATCCATGTATCCATAAAAGTCATTGGACCACATTCATCCATTTGTGTTTATCTATCTGACCATCCATCAGTCCAGCAATCGGTCCATCCATCCATCCATCCATCCATCCATCCATCCATCCATCCATTCATCCATCCATCCATCCATGCATCCGTCCATTAATCGGTCCATCCATCGGTCCATCCATCTGTCCATCCATCAGTCCATCCATCCATAAATACATCCACCCATTCATCCATCCATTCATCTATCCATGTATCCATCTATCTATCTATCTATCCATCCATCCATCTATCCATCTATCTATCCATCCATCCATCCATGTATCCATAAAAGTCATTGGACCACATTCATCCATTTGTGTTTATCTATCTGACCATCCATCAGT